CTTGTGCGACTTCTCATCTCGACGGGGGCGACGACTGGCTGATCGACCGTGGCCTCCCTTGTTGTCGTCCTCGTCGCTGTCATCGCGGTCGGGGCACTTGAAGGAGAGATGGTCGGGGTCCCCGCAGCGTTGGGCATCCGTCGGCTGTTGTCTGCGCCTGACGAGCCACATCGACTTCGGGATACCATCCCGACGTTGCCTGCGCCATCGCAACCTCGACGACGTTCGCGTGCCTCCGCAGAACTCGTCGAGCAGGTTACCCGGTCGACCGCCTGGTGCTTCCGGTCGACCACCACTGCTTCTGGTCGACCACCAGGTCGCTCTGGTCGACCACCAGGTGCCTCTGGTCGACCACAACTCCGGTCGAGCTACCCCCTGGTCGACGGACCCCTTCTGTCGACCAGAACCGTCAGCGGTTGTCGCCGAGCTCCCCTTGTCGAGCGCTGCTCACTTGTCAGGTCGACGGACTACTCCGTCGACCTCCCGGTCGAACTGCAGGTCGACGGGATGCTCCGGAGACCTCCCAATCTTGCAACAGGTCGATGGGATGCTCCGAAGACCTCTCGGTTGAATGGCAGGTTGACGGGATGCTCCGAAGACCTCCCGGTCGAGCTGTAGGTCCTGGTCGACGTCCCACCCGTCGCCCAGACCAGTCAGTTGCAGCTGTCGAGCTCTCTGGTCGACAGCAACACCACAGCGGTCCCCTGCAGCTCGACGAAGCCTGTCAAGCAGCTCTCCCACTGTGAACGGTCGGCTGCTACTCCCGTACATCTGACCAAGTCGTCGGCGTTGCCCAAGCGAGGGCGGGGCCAACACTCCATTCCTGTTAACACTTCAACAGCAAGAAGTATAAGCTACCGTCCTTGGCAGCCACCCGGAATGTCCAGCACAGGTCGATGCGCACGATAGCAAGGGCGTCCTCGGCGTCCGAGCCAGGGAAGGTGTGTCGCGCCAGCTTCCCACCGTCGCACGAAACACACGTAGAGTTGGTGCCGGCCGACTGCTTGATATCCAGGCCGGTGGCGACCTCATGCTTTCCCGAACTCGTGTGGTGTCGACGCCGACATGCGCAAGCCTCGCGTGCCACCTGGGTTGCGTCGACTTTGTCGCCGAGACGATCGCCCACGGAGCCACCACCCCTGACGAGTCTATCGTCGACGTCGCTGTGCACGGGCGCAGGTCGATGCAGAGGACTCGGCCAGTATATTTCGCCCGGCCAAGCACGACCGTCGTTGCCGAAACAAGGAGCATCCCATCCACGTCCTCCTGCAGCATCACGCCGTTCTCCTTCAACTGGCTGGCTGAGGGAGCTAGCATGCAACATATACAACATAGTTGGCTAGGCTGACTACATCAGAATTAGCATGCAAGCAAGTCGACTTCCAGCGCAGCACGGTCGACCGCGTTCCAGCACGACTTGGTCGATCGCGCTACAGTAGCGCAAAGTCACGACCTGCCAACGTTGCAAGTTGACGCCGTGCCAACGCTGCAGTAAGGCACCCGCAGGACAGCAGCGCACCCGCTTCGCAGGTGCTGACAGATGTTTGGCGTGCCGTGTCTTGTCACATGCACAGCGCACACGCCAGATCGTCCTCGTTCTGACGACTGCACCTGATCAACCACGTCGACCTCGGGGTATTCCCACCGAGGTCGGCCTCGCCAGAACCACCTGGATGACCCTCGCAGTCCTCCGCAAAACCCCGTCATCTAGGTAACCTGGTCGACCGAGGAACCACCACGTTGACCAGTAGTTCCTCCTTGTGCACGTCGACCACCCGAGTCGACGACCACCACCGAATGACCACGCACCAGGTCGCCCAGCTCGAGGTCGACCACACTACTGGTCGACCACCTCCAAGTCGACCAGCACAACCGTCAGCCGACCACGCCAGGACGGCTTCCCCAAGTTGGCGTCACCAAGTCGACGCCGTCGATAGGTCGACCTTCCAAGTCAACCCCCGAATTCGGCGCCCTTTTCAAAGTCGGCGCCATCGAAGTGACACCATGCAGGTCGCCGAACCCGTCGACCAGCTCGCCCACTGCTGTAGGTCGGCTGCACCTCCCGCATACCCGACCAGGAAGTCGGCTCCGCCCAAACGAGGACGGGGCCTGACAACAACTCCCATTGACAGTTACCATGCAACGGGCGTCAGCTGGGTTCCTTCGTCCTTGCTGTCTCCCGACAACACTTGCCTTCAAGCGTACCTTCAGTTTGCAGGCGCTACGAAGGTTGCCTCCTTGGGAGGGGGGTAGTGTTAGAGGGAGATTTACTGTTCACTTTGAATAATACCTTCCAACGCATCCCTATCTTTATCTTCTCGGATTTCCTAATGCCACTTGGCACTCTAATTTGTTTGCCTTTTATTTCCTAGTCCCACAAGTCACTTTCCCACAATTGCTCTTGCATGCTATATCAACCTTGCTTGCATCCACCAATATCAACCGATTCTCATTCAACTATTACTCAATAACTTCTTCGCCAACAAAGTCTGCGTTTCATCCTAAAGTTAGTCGACCCCGCTATTCTGTAGCGGATTTAGGCAAGGGCCCTAACAATCTGTATCTTGGTTATCGTGCAACTACCATACTAGATTCTCTGGTCGCTGTCACTGATAAGAAAAATGAAAACCTCTGTCGACTTGTCCCGGGCAAGTTGCATGCCTCCTTGGTCTAACAGCAACACGAACCATTCCAAATAAAACCGGAATCTCTCAGCGGAAACGGGTCGTCAAGCCTGACGACCCTCTGACGAGTTGACGACATGCTGCCTAGCCTCGGGCAGAAAAAAAAACTAAAACCCCAACGGATGGCATGCCATCCGAGGGAGGCATCAACCCTAAACACATGCCTCCATGTGTTTAGGGTTATGCCTCCCTGACCGGATGCATGCCCGGACGGGTTTTATTTATTTTTTTTTGCCTGCGAGGAGCGAGCTCCCTCGAGCACACTCGCTTGTCCGTTGAGATATATTCGAAGGAATCAGTTCCCCAAAGTTGCCTCAACCTTCCTACCTTTTGGTTGGGTGACTAGGTCCAACCAAGCTTCCTACCTTTGGTTGGGGCACCAGGTCCAACCAACCTTCCTACCCTTGAAATTTGTGCGCCTCGGGTTGTGCTACGATTTTCGTAAACCAAAATTTATGTACTGGCGACTACGACAACCATGACGATTTCGCCCAATTCTGTTCCGCTGAACCGAAATTATACGCTAATGGTTGGGTAAGTAGCTTTCGCAGGGGTACTACTAGCGACCCTGCGCTTTCAAGGGGACTACAGTGCAATATGCGGGCACTTTTCGCCACTCCGCCACTCCGATAGGAACATTATGGCAACAGCACAGAACTCGGTCCCAAATTCACCCACGTGTCAGAATTTCGCAAGCCACTGGAAAAAAATATCCCTTTACCTGGCCGGAAAAAAACTAAAACCCAATCGGGAAGGGATGCGTCCCGGGGAGGCATCAACCCTTAAAGCTTTTGTATACATTTGAAAGAGGGAGGTTCAAAAGTTTTGAAATTTGAAATATTGGTAACCCAATTACAGCTAGTTCACTCTCTGAACAAGGGAGGGAGATCTCCCCGACACCCAGCACTCGCTGGTGATTCAAAACTCATTCCCCTCCCTGCATTACCCTTCCCCTCCCTGCATTACCCTTCACCACCCTGCATTACCCTTCCCCTCGCTGCATTACCCTTCCCCTCACTGCATTACCCTTCCCCTCCCTGCATTACCCTTCCCCTCCCTGTATTACCCTTCCCCTCGCTGCATTACCCTTCCCCTCCCTGCATTACCCTTCCCCTCCCTGCATTACCCTTCCCCTCCCTGTATTACCCTTCCCCTCTTTTTCACGATCCTCCTGCCTTTCCCTCTTTTCCCCTCTCCTGCTGCCTTTCTCTCAGGGCCTCAAATTCGTTTTGGCCTAGGCTGAATCGTCAGCCTTGGGAGTGGGATGAAGACTGATCAATCAGGGTAGCCTTGAAAAAAAAAGCTGAAATTTCAGTGCTTAGTTTCAAAAATTGGCTGATCATTCAGCCTTGCTTAAAAACAAAGGCTGAACACAACTTCAAGCTTTCCTATAGCGCAATACGCGACGTGCTGCCAACAGTGCACACAACGTGCCTACACAGCTTCACACACGAAGATACAGTACCTTCTATCGGCAACATGGGCGAATCCGAGCTAATTTCCAGTGACTGGGCGAATTTCTGGAAGAACGTGTTGTGTCAGAGCGAAAATTCTTGTGATTGGGCGAAATTGTTGTGGCTCTGACGGGGCGAATCTGCAGTGACGAGTCAAGCTGAAAGACTTGCATCCAGAAACCAGAAACTAGATTGCACATTCGTGCCATCTGATTGGCCAGGCAGGCTTTTGATTCTCGGCACTACACGAATCTCCACTCGTGGGATTTCAGCCCACACACCCGTTACAACGCTGATCAGTCAGTGTACACCTCTAAAAAAACTCTGAAATTTCAGACCATACAATGAAAAAAATGCTGAAAAATCAGCCGGTACAATGAAAAAAAAGCTGACAAATCAGCCCCACTTTCTTCCCAGCACTGAAATCTCAGCCTTTTTACCCCTAATCAGCCTTTCTTCGCTGACTTCTGAGGCCCTGCTTTCTCTCTTTTCAGCTCTCTTCAACAAGTGTTGAACAAATTATGACCAGCTAGAGCAGAGGACAACCCTCCATGTATCTTGAGTTGAGTACAACACACGTCAGATGTCGCATACAATGCTGTGCTGTGCCCATGTGCATCATGCAAGGATGCTGTACGCAAAGAAGGGAAGTTGTGTCTAGGTACAGTCATCAACATTTTCAATGTATTATGACATGCTATGCAATGCTATCAATTCACTTGATTGATACGCTAACAGCACACACAAGCTGGAACTTCCTGCCTATTGATTTGGTTTCACTAAGCTGCAAAGAGCAGCACTCAGAATGAGAAGGCCTGATGTCCTTCGTGTCGTGCTGTTGAAAAAAAACAAACAAACAAAATTATAGACAAGGGCAAGCTGCAGAAGAAACAGAGGGTAAGCTGGAGGGAAAGGGAGGGGAAGCAAAGGGGGAGCAAGGGTTTCACGGGGGGAAGTAAGGAAGGGTAAGCAAAGGGGAGAGGAGGGGAAGGACTGTGCAGCATGTGAGGGCGCTGCAGCTCCCTCACGCACGCCAGCAGCATGAGCGCACTCACCTGCCGGCAGGGTGGGGGCAGGGAAGGGTAAGGAGGGGGGAAATGAGGGAAAGGAGAGGGGGGAATGAGGGTAGGGAGAGGGGAAAATGAGGGGAAGGAGGGGTAAAGGAGGGGACGGAGAAAGGGAGAGGAGAGGGCGGATAAGGGGAAATGTGGGAAACAAGAGGAATGAGAGGATGAAATGAGGGGAGAGGGGGAAACAAGGGGACGGAGTAGGGGAAATGCGAGAAACGAGATGGGGAGATGAGGGTAAGGAAAGGGTGAATGAGGAGAAGGAGAGGGCGAAATGAGGGGAAGGAGAGGGGGAAATGAAGAGGGAGAAAGGGGGGAAGTGAGGGTGAGCAGGGGGAGAAATGAGAGGGAGCAGGGGGGGAAATGAGAGGGAGCAGGGGGGGCGAAATGAGAGGAAGAAAGGGAGAAAATGAGGGGGAGAAGGGGGGGAAACGAGAGGGGGGAAAGCGGGGAAATGAGAGGGAGAAGGGGGGAAATGAGAGGGAGAAGTTGGGGAAATGAGGGAGGAGGGGAAACGAGAGGGGGAAGGGTGGGAAACGAGAGGGAGGAGGGGGAGAAATGAGAGGGGGAAGGGGGGATACGAGAGGGGGAAGGGGGAGTTACGAGAGGGAGGATGGGGGGAAATGAGAGGAAGGGGGAAAAACGAGATTGATAAGGGGGGGAAACGAGAGGGGGAAAGGAAATGAGAGGCGGAAGGGGGGAAAACGAGAGGGAAGAGCGGGGGAAACGAGAGGGAGGAGGGGGGGGAATGAGAGGGAGAAGGGGGGGAAACGAGAGGGGGAAAGGAAATGAGAGGCGGAAGGGGGGAAAACGAGAGGGAAGAGCGGGGGAAACGAGAGGGAGGAGGGGGGGGAATGAGAGGGAGAAGGGGGGGAAACGAGAGGGGGAAAGCGGGGAAATGAGAGGGGGAAGAGGGAAATGAGAGGGAGAAGTTGGGGAAATGAGAGGAGAAGGAGGGGAAACGAGAGGGGGAAGGGGGGGAAACGAGAGGGAGGAGGGGGGGAAATGAGAGGGAGAAGGGGGGGAAACGAGAGGCGGAAGGGGGGGAAAGGAGAGGCGGATGGGGGGGGGAACGAGAGGGAGAAGGGGGGGAAACGAGAGGATGGAGGGGGGAAATAAGAGGGAGGATGGGTGGAAACGAGATGGAGAAGGGGGGGAAACGAGAGGGAGGAGCTCCGGGAAAATGAGAGGCGGAATGGGGGGAAATGAGAGGAGAAAGGGGGGAAACGAGATTGAGGAAACGAGAGGCGGAAGGGGGGAAATGAAGAAATAAGGTTATGAGCCAAGCAGCGCGTGAGGCAAGTATTTTGCCGATTCGCAGGTGAGGCATGCGGCGGGTGAGGCGAGAAGCGGGTGACGCGCTAAACAGATTTCGCGAGCACCGTGTTTGGCGAAGAGCGGGTATCGCGATCAGCGGGTTTCGCCATCAGCGGGTTTCGCCATCAACGGGTTTCGCGATGCATGATGGCGCTAGGCGAGAAACCCGCAGGGTGGAACGCGACGTGTCACTGAATAATTTATCGCTGGTTCGACGATTGCATCGCGGCGAGCCAGCATAATGCAACTCGTCGAGGCGCTCGCCCGTGTGCCGCATGGCATCGCTCGACGAATGCTACGCGATGGCCCATCCGAATGCAAACCGCCCCTGCAGCTAAAGGCTTTTGTATAGCCCCGTGTCCCCTTACCACGGGCGATTAGGTCAGGGTGAGTAATTGCGCTGCTAGTTCTATCAAGGCCTTTCCTAGTAATTAGTTGCTTATATGAGTGTCGCTCAAGGGTTGGGTGACGGGAGAGTTTCTCGTGTTCCCACCCCTCAATCCTCCAAATTTTTGCAACCCCTCTCACCAAGCCCCTGTTAGGCCCGACGGCCTAAGTCCGCTAAAGAATTAGCGGGGTCGACTAAGTCGAGGATGAAACGCGGCGGAAGACTTTGGCGAAAGAACTATTGGCGAAATAGGCGAAGAAGTTACTGAGTAATTGAAGAAGAGTTGAATGAGAATTGATTGATAATGGCAAGTACAAGCAAGGTTTATATAGCATGTAAGAAACGAGGTTGGAAAGTGGAATGTGGGACCAAGAATTGGAGTGCAAGAAAAGTAGAGTGCCACGTGGCACTAGAGAATCTGAGAAGATAAGGATAATGGTGACTAGGAATATACTGTTCGGAATGAACAGTAAACACCCCTCTAACGCTACCCCCCTCCCAAGGAGGCGACGTCCGCGGCGACTGCAGACTGAAGGTACGCTTGGAGGCAAGCGTTGTCAGGAGACAGTGAGGACGAAGGAACCCAGCTGTCGTCTGCTGCGTCGTAACCACGCCAACGAACCAAGAAGTCGATGAAAGTGACACCCCCCTGGAGACGGCGACTGTGCCTGAGGATGCGCTGGATCTGGTAGTCGGGCTCGTCGGTGTCAACAGCTATCTGTCAGATTATATTTAGCTGATGCATGTTTTGTAGGCTGTAGTGGGGTAGCCCATATGGGGTACAACCCTTTTAGGGTTGGTACTTGTACTTGTTTTCATTCCATAGTGCACTCATTCGTTCCCTCTAATCTCAACATGGTATAGAGCGGGTCCTTCCTAAGGACCGTTTTTAGGGCCCACCAATGAAAGTTTTTTCCTGCCCGGAGCGCCCTCCTCTCCCCGAGGCGCGCTCCCCCCTTAGTGTTTGTCGCGCAGCCCCTATGCCCCCCCACCCCCCCCCCCCCCCGCGCGACCTTTTTTTTTTTCGCGCGCGCGGCCAGGGCCACGTCGCGCCGACCTCAGGCCGCGTCGCGCCGCCCTCGCGCCGCTCGCGCCGCCCCCTCTGACCCTCGCGACGCCGCTGCCGTCGCTGCCGGCCCCGCGATCGCCTGCGACGGCCCCGCCGTCCCCTCTACCGGCCCCGCCGCTGCACCCGACGGCTCCCCCGTCCCCTCTGCCGGCACCGCCGCTGCTTCACACGGCCCCGCCGCTGCACCTGACGGCCCCGCCGTCCCCTCTGACGGCCCCGCCGTCCCCTTCTACCGGCCCCGCCGCTGCTTCAACCGGCGCCGCCGCTGCACCTGACGGCCCCGCCGTCCCCTCTGACGGCCCCGCCGTCCCCTTCTACCGGCCTCGCCACTGCATCTGCCGGCGCCGCCACTGCACCTGACGGCCCAGCCGTCCCCTCTGACGGCCCCCCCGTCCCCTTCTGCCGGCCCCGCCGCTTCATCTGCCGGCGCCGCCAATGCACCTGACGGCCCCGCCGTCCCCTTCTACCGGCCTCGCCGCTGCACTCTGCCGGCCCCGCCGCTTCACTCTACCGGCCCCGCCACTGCACTCTGCCGGCCCCGCCGCTACACTCTGCTGGCCCCGCCGCTGCGCTCTCCTGGCCGCCGCCGCTGCACTCTGCCGGCCCCGCCGCTACACTCCGCCGGCCCCGCCGCTGCGCTCTCCCGGCCGCCGCCACTGCACTCTGCCGGCCGCCGCCGCTTCACCGACAGCCGAGCCACCGCGCCGCCTGTCAACCAAGCCGCCAAGGAGCCGGGCCGCCCTGCAGCCGAGCCGCCCAGCAGCCGAGCCGCCCTGCAGCTGAGCCGCCCAGCAGCCGAGCCGCCGAGCAGCCGAGCCGCCCCGCAGCCGAGCCGCCTTGCCGCCGAGCCGCACAGCTGCCGAGCTGCCCGAGCCGCCCTGTCGGGTAAGACCCGGCCGCTCCTCTCCCTCTATACTACCCTCTTCCTACTGCCTGCACTGTTAGCCTACTGCAGTCATGGCTACCCCCAGCGTTCTCGCCTTTGACGCTGAGGGTCGGGCCATCGACTTTGATGTGTGGGTAGACGACCTACTGCTTTTCCTACAGTGCGATAGAGCTGACGGCCTCTCTCTCTTTGATCTCACTTCTGGTGCCTCTCCCGCCCCTGCTGCTACTGAGGATGCCACTGTTCGCTCACAGTGGGCCACACGCGATGCTGCTGCACGTCTTGCTGTGCGTCGCCACCTCCCTCCCGCTGAGCGTGCGCACTTTGGGTCGTACAAGATTGCTAAGACCTTGTACGACGCCGTTATCGCACGCTACTCCACCCCTGCCACTGCGGCACTGAGCCGCCTCATGCTACCGTACCTCTTTCCCGACCTTGCTGCTTTTGCCACAGTAACCGACCTCATTACCCACTTGCGCACTAGTGACGCTCGCTTCCGCGCTGCACTTCCTGCTGAGTTCTGCGCCAAGAACCCCCCCCCCAGTACTTCACTCTCTACTACATTGTCACCCGCCTCCCTGACTCCCTTCGCGGAGTCAGGGACGACCTACTCGCAGTCTGCCCCACCACTCTCACAGTCGAGATCCTCGAGAAGTCCCTCCTAGCAGCCGAGAAGAGCATTCTCGCTGTAGGGGCCTCTCGTGGTGACCCGCGCACCCCCATCTTTGAGGGGTGTTCCCCCTCCCCCCTCCTGCCCTCTGTCGCCTCTGCTGCTACGGCCGACCTTGTTGGTTTTGAGTCGGTCGGTGCGGCGTCTGCCCCCAGCGGGAGACGTCGCTCTGGCAATAGCAAGGGGGGCAGGGGCGGTGGTGGGGGCGGCGGGGGCGGTGGAGGCGGAGGTAGAGGCAGCGGCGGAGGTGAGGGTGGTAGCGGGAGTGGTGGCGGGAGTGGAGGTGTCGGCGGAGGAAGTGGAGGCGGGGGCGGCAGCGGCAGTGGTAGTGGGGGTGGAGGTGGAGGCGGGGGTGGCGGCGGCGACGGTGGGAGTGGCGGTGGCGGCAGAGGTGGTGGCGGCGGCGGCGGAGGAGGCGGCGGAGGTCGTGGCGCGTCGAGGAGGAGTGGCTCCGGTGGTGGTCAGCGCCAGCAGCAGTAGCGTGGTCAGGAGACCCTCTCCCCGCAGCAGCTCTGTGAGTGGTACTCTGCGCGTCAGCGGGGTGGGGGTGCTGGTCCGTGCACTTACGTCCTGCGCACTGGCGACCGTGCGGGTGAGCAGTGTGGTGGTCCACACTCCACCCAGCGTTGCTTCGGCCGCCTGAGTGACGCTTGGCGCCGCCAGTTTCCTGACGCCTCTGAGATCCCTCGCTGGGACCAGCTGTCTAGGGCGGGAGTAGCTATCTTTGATCTTGACTTTGATGCTATTCTTGCTGCCATGTATGCTGTGACTATTAGTGAGGAGGGTGACTGTTACCGGTGTTTCCCGCCCGACCCGGGCATTGGTACTGCGGCTCTAGGTGCTGTTGAGGCTGCTGCTCCAGGTGTTGGTGAGGCTGTTGCTCTAGGTGCCAGTGAGTCTGAGTCCTCAGGTGCTGGTGAGTCTGCTCTCTCAGGTACTGTGTCGACTTCTCCCTCTCTCACTTTCACTCTTGACTCCGGGGCGTCTCGCTCCTTCTTTCGAGACCGCACCACACTCACGCCGCTTAGTCGGCCAGTGGCGGTCTCCTTGGCAGACCCCTCTGGGGGTCCTGTTCTGGCTCGCTACTCCACTGTCCTGCCGTGCCCTGCGGTCCCGTCTGGCGCCCTGTCCGGTCTCTACCTCCCCTCGTTCTCTACGAACTTGGTGGCGGGTGCTGACCTACAGGATGCAGGGGTTGACCAGTTCACCCCTGCGCGCCGACGGGTCACCCACTGCACGGACGCGGACACGGGTCGACACCTGACCACGTTCACACGTGGTCCAGGGTCGAGCGTGTACACACTCACTGTTCCGTCTCCTCCTCCTGCGTCTGGTCAGGTAGCTGCGTCGGGTCAGGTGTTTGCTGCAGCGTCCAGGTCTGGTCCTGAGTCTGCCCCCTGCTTGTGTCGCCTCCTGTCCCACGAGACCCTCCTGTGGCATCACACGATGGGTCACCCCTCCCTGCCTCGTCTCCGGGGCATGGCCTCTCGCCTTCTTGTCTCTGGCCTTCCCCGGTCCCTCCCTCCCCTTCCTCCGGGGCCTGGCCCTCCCTGTGTCCCCTGTGTCGAGGGTCGCCTGCGGGCTACCCCTCACTCCTCCCTGTTTCCTCCGACGGAGGCCCCGATGCAGACGCTTCACATGGACGTGTGGGGCCCAGCCCGCATCCGTGGACAGGGTCACGAGCGCTACTTCCTGCTGGTGGTTGACGGCTACACGCGTTACACCTCCGTCTTCCCCTTGCGCAGCAAGGGTGAGGTCACTGAGGTGTTGATCGACTGGATCCGCGCAGCTCGTCTCCAGCTCAGGAAGAGCTTCGGCTCGGACTTTCCTGTTTTCCGTATACACTCGGACAGAGGCGGAGAGTTCTCCTCCGGCCTTCTGCGAGCCTACTGTCGGGCACGAGGCATCCGCCAGACCTTCACGCTTCCGGACTCTCCACAGCAGAATGGGATTGTTGAGCGCCGCATCGGCATTGTCATGGACGTCGCCCGTACGTCCAT